GTGTGTTTCTCAAAGAAAAGGTTAGAATGCACTGGGGGTGGGGAGGGGTTGTGAGTTGAGACTTTCAGAGAGACTATTAGGTGAATCATATTCAGAGGAGGTGATTCTAGAAATCTTAAAGCAGGAATTTGCCAAGATAAGTTTGTAGAAACAGAGAAATTGTAAAGAACAGAAGGAACAAATTTTAGACATGGTATGACCTGGACTCTTATAGTGTGTGCCTTGAAATAAGAGTTAAATATGACCTCCTCCCCGCTTTTTTCCCAGTATTTGGGATTAAACCCAGAGTCCCTACAATAAGCTACTTACTTCCTGGGTCCTCTTTGTTTATTCATTTTTATTCTGAGATAATGACAGAGTCTCTCCATTACCTAGGCTGGACTTGAATCTTGCTGTCACAGCCTTTGAGAGTGGTGAGAGTACAGGCATTTGCCACCATGCCAGGCTTACATGTTTCTTTGTAGACAGACATACCTGAACTAACAAAAAGTATTTGTGAGAAGCAGGATGTCAACCAGATTTAAATTACTCAGTTTAAAAGAAACACACTGAAAAAAAAACATTTTTTCATGACAAATCTGTAACAGTAAATTTCAGAAAATATTGATAATTTGCCATGTACCAAGTTTGTCTCTACCTTAATTTGATTATCAGTTCTTTTAGCACATTTCTATGAAGTTGTAACTAGTTTTACGTATTAGAAATAATATATCCAAACCAAAATAATTTTTTCTTTATTAAAGATCATAGATGAAGATGCTCAACTTGTAGAAATAGGACCTCGTTTTGTCTTAAATCTGATAAAGGTTTTTCAGGGAAGTTTTGGAGGACCAACTTTATATGAAAATCCTCACTACCAGTCACCTAACATGGTAAGCTTTTTTTGTTGTTTGTTTTTTGAGGTACTGGAACTCTTCAGCTAGAATAATTTTGTAATAACTTTCCCGTCACATGCGAAACTGAATTGGGTTTTGCTGCGTACAAATCACAAATCACTGCCTTGTTTTTTAACACAGGATGGCTGGACATAGAGTTCAAAAGTGAATATCTTTGCCTTAAAGTGTTCATTCCAAGCATCTGATCTTTGTTTTTCAGCATCGGCGGATCATAAGATCCATTACAGCTGCAAAATACAAGGAGAAGCAGCAAGTAAAAGAGGTGCAGAAACTGAGAAAGAAAGAGCCAAAGACTGTTCTTCCACATGATCCTACTGAAGATGTTTTTGTTATACCAGCTGAGGAAAAGCCAGTAGAAATACAGTGGGTAAAACCAGAGCCAAAAGTTGATTTGAAAGCAAGGAAAAAAAGGATTTACAAAAGGCAAAGAAAACTGAAACAGAAGGTGAACAGTCGAAGTGCAAAATGAATAAATGGATAACTAAGTTGTTTTCTAATTAATGTATATTTATTTCCTATTCAGTTTGTAAATCGATTATCATGGACTGCCTTATGTCTAACTAGTGTGCCATTTAAAAGAAAAAATACTTTACAATCAGTGGTGTTTATCTTTTTTTAAATAAAGCATTGTATCACTAGAACTCATCAGCTAATTTTGTACTCTTTTCAGAGTTTCTTTGCTATTACTGAAATTTTTTTCTTTTTTAAAAAATTTAGTTTAGCACACTTAATTTAGGTTTGCTTTCTTGTTTAGAATTTTGGGTATAAGAATTAAAGTCTACATTCTAAAGGCATACATGCATACTCATCTATAATTATTATGGCACAGTTCACAGTGACCAAGACAGGAGTGCAGAATAATAGATAAAGGAAATGTAGCACATAATAGGATTAGGTCATTTGCAGGACAATGAATGGACTGGAGACCATTATGTTAAGTGAAATAAGCCACTTTACAGGCACCACTTATTTTCTCTTAATATGGGGAATGTAAAAAAAGATGTCATGAAAGTAGAAGGGAGACTTGTTACATAAGGGGGAAGGAATAAGAGGTGTGTAAGGAGGGCAATGGGGTGGGTATTGTGTGTTCAGAATTATAAAACATCAAACCCAAATACTGTGTCAAAATAGGTACTAACAAAAATACATTAAAAATTTTTGGTTTAAAACATCTGAAATTAAAACATCTATTTTAGATCTGTTATAAAGAGATTAAGCATTTCAAGAACAGTTTGTGGATGACAAGGTAGGGTTGGACTGGTGGAAAAGTTCTGAGGGCTTGACCCTCAGAATCAGTTAATGAAGCCTTGGAAAACCTGACTTCTTTTCTTCCTTACTTACATTAAAACTTACAGCTTTTGAGAATCAGCTGTGGAAAGCATTTTGTAAATTTATGAATTTTTTTTTATAAGCAACATACAAGTTATTAAAACTCAGGAACAACATTTGGGGGTGCCAGAATATTTGAACTTCTCACAAATGCTCCTTATTTCAACTACAAGAGACACTAGGGATAGATAGTGCGGTTACAAATATTTTTCCAGTGACTAGAGTCAGTCACTGCTGAATGGGCAGGTATAAATATGTATTTCATAATGCATCTATGTGAGTCATGCAGATGTTTTGTGTCTACTTTTTTTGGCTTGTATTTTTTTATGTCTTCCTGTACAATCTGTCTACTGCACAGTGTTCCATTTTGTAATGTAGCAGAATAATCTGACCAATATTAATTCTTTGTTGGATATTTCAGTTTTGTTTGTATTGCTGGCATAGGTGCTTATTGATAACTATTCCTGTATATAAATTTGTGGTTTCTTAGAATTGGAACTCAGGATAAAAGTTTTAACTATCAAGGTTTGTTCCTTGCATAAAATTGTACCTTGCCAGAGGTTAGCATATTCATTTCATTATACTCTACGTATGCCAGAGATGTCAACTGGAAATGAGTGTTTTTTCCTCTGGTTTGGATTTATTCTTTTCTGAGTGGACTAGTCTTGTTTTTTGTATTAATTTTTATAGATTTCTAAAACCTCTTGTATAGCAATTTCAGGTATCTTTACTGATTTGTTTACAGTTTAATTTTATGGCTATTAAAATCTTTGTCAGTGGAATTATCCATCTTGTTATGCCTCTTAGTTTTCTGTTAAAGACTTAGGAATTTTGTTTTAATTATGGCTACTTATCCTGAAACAGTCTACATTAGACTACTCGAAATCTTGAAGGCATCTAAGTTATCCAAGTGGTTCACTTGAAATACTTGTATATGGATAGCTAAATAAAGCCAAATCTAGTTTAAAAATAGCTTATTTATTTATGCAATAGAATAGTAGGCAACTGGAAATGAAATAGTCTATTTAGGGTATGCTTTTAAGCATTCCCATCTCAGGAAGAAGTAACTATGTTATAAACTGGATCAAAAAGTGGCCAATTTGAGAGAAGACACAGAACTTCTTGATATATTGTGTAGTTGTGGTAGAGTTTACAATGTTGAATTACCAGTTTCTGTACAGAGATTTTTTGTTGCAAGTTACTTTTTCATAATCATTTTGTTACCTTATTTGAGAATTCCTCTGGGTTAGATCACCTCCAGAGCCCATGCTGTATTTAGAAGTCAATTTATTCCTACAGATATTTCTTTAGGCTGAAATTTATATGCTGTGTGTTTTTAAAACGTTTTTGTAATAATCCTCTTCAAAAAAAAAAAAAAAGAGTCAAGTAACTTTCAAAAGTAAGCAAAATCAAATACAGTTGCAGGAGAAAAAATATTTTGTCTCCCAGTTCCTTCTCTGGATGAGAAAAGTTCCTGGCCCTCTTCCCTAACTCAGAACTTGTCAATGTCTATTACCAGTTCACCTACTGGCTTAGGCTATATAGAATGATGTATGTCTGGAAAAGAAGTGCGTGCAGAGTTGGATGAGCAATGTATGTGGTGTCAGTTGATGAGATTTAGATTATGTTTGCTATTGGGTGCAAGATAATAGTGAAAAAGGACAATTCCCCAAAGTGCTTGTATTCCCAACCCTATACAGTACATATTAGCAACACAACTAACCCTACTGTCTTTGACCATACATGGTTGCCAAATAAGTGTGTGCTAAATCAGACACTTGTAAACATTCCACCTTACAGTGAAATGTATTAGTATATTAATGCATTTTAATAATTAGGATATATTATTTTGACATTTGTTAAATGTTTGCAACAGTTGTACAGATCCGCTACCACGAAATGCACAGCAATAGTTAGATCAACAAAATCCCAGAACTATTTTCTGAACCTAATCTTGGATGGTTAAAATTAGAGATCAGACAGTTAAGATCAAAAAGTGACGGCTAGCCAGGTGGTAGCACATGCCTGTAATCTCGGCCCTGGAGAGGCTGAGACAAGAGGACTGCTGCGAGTTCAAGGCCAGCCTGATCTACACAGTTAGTTCAAACATAGCCTGAACTACACAGCAAGACCGTTCCCCTCCCCCACAAAAGCGATAGTTGGAGAGATCATCCATACTGGTAGTACAGTTTTTGTGTCACTTTTATGTTGATGCTTCGCCCTTATATTGTTCCATAAACAATTTAACAACCATTTTTTGTCATCTGACATACTGGCTAAGACGAACAGAGTCGGAACCCTGATTAAGTGACCGGGGAAAGATGCCACAACCTTATTGTTCAAGGAATCCTGAAAAGTCACTTGACTACCTGGAGCGTGAGTTGCCTCCTCTGTAGAAACGGGGGCTCAGCTGAAAATCAGAACCCCGGTGTTTCCCAGGACCCTTGCCCTCCCAGTCCTATCCCCTTCAGGCGCGAGGTCCGCTGCCGGACCCGCACCCCGCGCAGGCCGCCTTCTGTGCACCTCACAATGACACCTGCGTCGGGCGCGCCGCCGGGCCCCGCCGCCGGGCCCCGCCCCGTCTCCCGCTCGCCCCGCCCCCGCCGCCGCCGCCGCCGAGGTCTCCCCCCCGGCCGGCCGAGGCCCCGCCTCCTCCCGCGCGGCTCTTCCGGGGCGAAGCTCGGCCCCGCCCATGCGGAGCCGCGGCCGCCGGCGCCGCCCCCTCAGCGCGCCCGCGTGCCGCAGCCCGCGCCGCCTCCCGCCGCCGCGCGCCTCCGCCGCCCCGCGCCGCTGCCGTCGCCGCCGCCGCCGCGTTCACTGGCTGTCCGGGTGCGGGCGCCGGGCTCCCGCGGGAGGAGGGCATAGCCGGCGCCGCCCCGGCCCGGGCCCCGGCCCCTGTCCCGCCCCGGGCCCCGGCCAGAGCCCCCCGCCCGGCCCGGCCATGAAGTGTCACTACGAGGCGCTGGGGGTGCGGCGCGACGCCAGCGAGGAGGAGCTCAAAAAGGCCTATCGGAAGCTGGCCCTGAAATGGCACCCGGGTAAGGACCGGCGCCGCGCACCCCCCGGCCCTGCCCACCCCGCCGGCCGCTTCCCTCGCCGGCTCTGCCCGCGCGTCTGCCGGTGCCGCGACGGCCGCCTCCCGGCCCCGGAGAGCGGGGACTGGCGCCTCCACGATCTGAACTCCGCCTGGTTTATAACTCCACTTGGGCTGAATTAAGACCGGGAGCCAGGGAGAGGTTTTTAAATAAGGATGCGCACTTTTTTTTTTCTTTTAACAGGCTGGTCACACAAGCTCCGCGCTTCAGTTTGGACCTGAGTCTTCACACTAGCATTTCTAATTAAGTGTCTTTCCTGGTGCCAGTTTCCTTTAAAGTGTGCTTCCTTTGGATGTTTTATTTGGTTATAGTCCAGGCCCGTATGACTTTTATGTCTTCCAGACTGGGAACCTGAGACCGTAGTAGAGTCTGTTTTTTGAGTGTTTCTAGTAGGAGGCTTTCATCTTGGCATTAATCAGTAAACACGGTCAGAGAGTCTCCAATACACGCAGTGTGTAGTGTAGATTCTGAAATGCTAAGACAGAGACCTCAAAATCTGGCTGGGAAAACATGCCTTACATATACGAAGAGTCAGCTACAAGTGCAGGCTACGTAGCACAACCTACATAAGTGGGGGTTGGATTAGTAGTATAACTAGTACCCGCCTCAGGAATTCAAGGAGCAAATTATCCTTACTGAAAGGCAGAGAGGCTTCTTCTCTTCAATGGAGCTTGGCTGCATTCTGTGGGATCTGAATTCGGAAAAGTGCAAGTCCCCAAGAGATGTACAAGGTGACATTTTGTGAAAAACGGGTTGGGAAATCAGCAGAAATGTAGGGCCCCAAAGTCAAAGGAGTTGTCTATAGTTGATGGAATAAGACAGAGATAATGATAATGTTACACAATTATCAGCAGAGGAAGTAAACGTGTATATGTGTGTTATGTGTGTATAATATGTAAATAAAAGCAGAAGCAAGATAAAGTGTCTTAGAGTTGAACAGAAACTGGCTAAAATAAAGAAAGCTAGTGTACTATAGAGCATATTCTTAGAGGAATAGAGAATTACCATTAGAAACTGAGTTGGGAGTTAGAAGTTGGGAGTCCTTTACCTTCTGAGTGGGAAAGATGCAAAGGATTCATTGTCTGACCGAAAGCATAAGTAATTTTGAGGACAACGTTTTTGAATCGTAGTTTGGCTTTGACTGTTAGGCTGAGGACCCTGGTTTATTTATTTTGCCAATGGTGGAGCGTTCTGGCTGTTTTTATTAAGGTGTCTTGGAGAAGGTACCCTGAAGGCACCTAAGGGCTGGAAGAGGGCTGGAGGCAAACGAGGAGAGGCTACCATAGACTGATAGGGCCCGAGCCAGGCTCAAGACCAGGAGCAGGCATAAGGTCTAGGTGGGAGAGCTAGTGCAAAGGAGAAATTGCCACATTTATTGAGTAATTGGGAATCAGTACAAGGAAGAAGCATAAAATACTGACTTTGAAACCAAAGCTGTCGGGAACGGAATGCATTTATCTTTGCTGGACGTTATATTTCATGGCATCCTAAATATATTTTGGTTGCAAATGCAAACCTTGTGTATTTCTCCTCTCTCAGGAGAGACATGCGTTTAGAATGCTTTGCTGGCTCATTAATTTTTCTGTCGCTCAACAAATGTTTGAGACATTGCATTAGTGTTTCTGGGGTTAAGCTTTGCTTCAAAAAAATGTAATAAATGTAGGAAAACTTTCCCATATTATTAAAAAAAGGAAAGAAAGTATTTTTGTTTCTTTCATAGAGGAACTGAGAAAATTCTCCAGTAGTATCAACAGTCCTGCCTAGTGAGATCATACCTCATGAAAGCAGGCTTTCAATAATTCACCTGACAGCTATTTCCCTAAGCTGTTTGCCATGTGAGTGAGGCAGGAAAGGTCTTCTGCAGGAGACACTGGTAGGAAATGGACAGTTTCAGCTGGTGAAAGAAGGGCTGAATGAGGGTAAACAAGGTGATCCCAGGTATTCACCCTGGACTAAATTTGGGTGAGGGTTGAAGATTGGATAAGTCATCCAGGAAATGGGTCCCTGAAGATATGATGTGTAGGCATATACCTGAAGTGGGAGTACAGGTGGAGGGAAGGAAAGAAAACCTGAGGAATAAGTGAGCATGGCCAGGTAAGCAATTATATAATTAGTAATTGGCTTATCAGTAATAATAGTTGTGACTTTTCAACTATTAATTCAATATAACAATCTGGTGCTGCACATCAGTAGTTAAAGTGATTAAAATGATAATGTTAGGAGTAAGGGATGGCTTTCTGATTATTGGTATCTGTCTTGAAATGGGAGTGCTCAAGGCAGAGAGGATGGGTTAGGAGGTGATGTGTTGGCTATCTTCAACTGGACTGCACTATCAAAGGAGGTTAGATTCACTCGTATAGAGTGAGGCTATAGGAGTGGTGATTATTTTTACTCAATGTATTCTAAAACATTGCATATTAAAGTATCTGAATAAAAAGAGCCATGGCAAAGTACTGGTCTGGGAAGACTTGTTAAGAGTTCTGTGTTGGGTAGAAGGACACCTGTAGGACTTGGTATCAGTGTGGTGGGGCCTGAGAAATAGGAGCAGGTTACCCCTCCATAGCCAGTTAAACAGATGGTAAAGCTACACCACTGTCTGGGGGAAAAGTTTGTGTCATTTTATCTTCTAGCCTGTTAGAAGGTATTGAGTTGTAGCTTAAGGAACTTTGGCATGCTCCATAGTTTTTCAAAATAGCTTACTTTCTGAATGTATTCATTGTATATTACTGTGTAACAAATTATCAAAGACTTAGGATTTAAAACAAGAACACTAAGTATCTACACATTATGTAGTTTTCCATAGTTTCTGAGGCTCAGAATCTGGGAATGGTTTTAGTGTATGACTTCTATGAGGTTGTGTCATCATTGTCTAGGAAAGTATGCTGCTTCCACGTTCAAGCATAAGGTTGTTGGGAACCCTTCGTTCCCCACTGCCTGTGTCCCCAAGGTCTTCCATTCTTTACCCAGTTTCTCCTTGGGCCACTGAGGCCGCTGTGGCAGCTGCTTACTCCCATAGTGCTCCAAGAGAGGGCCAGAACCCAAGATAGAAACTCATCTTTTGTAATTCTGTAAGTTTCTTTACTTCTTCAGAAGTTAAGTCTTTCATAACTTCATCTTAGAGGTAAAAAGTGTCATCACACCTGCCTCTGCTGTTGGTCACATGGGCTAGCTTGCTGATGAGGGAGGGGACTACACAAGGCTGTGACTGCTTTGAGGCTGGGGTCACTAAGTGCTGGCTGCCACGCGAGGCAAAAATGCTTTCTGAATTTGATGGTTAATGAAGCACAATTAAAGAAAAAAGGTTACCTCAAGTCCACAAACTTCATTGTTCCAGGAATCTGGTCTCTTGCTGAATGGTTACAAAGTAAATCAGATTCAGTGGTTACATTTATTGTTGACCTTATGAAGAAATTGGATACAGTTTGTGATCAGAACCATGGAAAGAATTAAGTTTATGAACTGCGGTTGGTCAGTTTGTCGGTTAGTCTGTCAGTCGTCTCTCTCTTAGTGAACATTGATAAGAAAGAAAAATTTAAAGACAGTATGAACACTAAACATAATCTAGCACTAAATAAATAACAGTATTTCTGTAACTAATGTTTATTATACTTCTTCTAAAAATGAAGTGTTTACTACTTAGGGTTTTCCATTTTTGATTTTCCAGATTGAATGTCCACTGATACAGCACAGCTTACAGATAGATGCTAGTTATCTGATTATTAGCTGTAATCTGGGATCTTTGTGTTTCCCTAGTTATTTTTATTTTGTATATTCTTGATCTGTTTATGACATTTGTGATGGAAGAAGTCTCATTTATAGTGTGTTTTCTACCTGATGACCAAATTTTTCTGACTTTATTTTTACAGATAAAAACATGGATAATGTTGCAGAAGCAGCCGAACAATTTAAATTAATCCAAGCAGCATACGATGTGTTAAGTGACCCTCAGGAAAGAGCGTGGTGAGTGTTGTGTTCTGCATACTATTGTTTATTTGGTTGGAAGGAATTGTCAACATAGAGTTGTTTTCATTTGATACATTAAATGACTTTGGTACATTCCTATTAGCTATATAAAATAAAATGGTGGAGTAAGAACTTTAGAGATGATTATTCCAATTATGTGACCTTATAAGTAATGAAACAGAAAACTTAATGATATTATGTGGGTTTAATTTTAATACTTCAAGTGATTTCTCACTAAATGGTATCCTTTTGGTATATGACAGATTTACAAAATCCGACAGAAAATTATTCTCAGAAATTGTCAGAAATGAAGGGTTTCCAACAACCTTATGCATGAAAGCAGTCTGCTTTCCCAGGCAATGATGTCAGGAAGGATTCATCTTTAAAATGTTTCAACAAAAGAATATTTTCCAGAGAACTAATTTTATGTGAAGAAATTTTGTTAGGTTTCTACATCTGTGATAGTTGTTTTTTTTTTTTTTTTTTTTTTTTTTTTTAATACTGGGAATTGAACTCGGGACCTTGTGCTTTTTAGCTTTCTAGGCAGGCACTTGTGCCACTGAGCTATATCCCTAGCTGTAATACATAGATTTGCCAAAAATGATCTGATAATTTAATCTCAGTCTCAGACAAAAATTTCTATGTTTGAAGTTCTGAGTTTTTAGATTCTCAATAAATTTTTTGCTATAAAGGGATATTTTTAAAAACCCTGTTGTAATCACACAAGAGCTTGCTATTACAAGGAACAATGCAGGTACTGTACAAATCATTTCTGTGTTAAAAATTATACTGAACAACTGCCTATTAAGAGAGAAAGACTGTCAAGAAAATTCTTACAAGAACTTTTTATGGGAAAATCAGAAACTTAAACTTTATTCAAGGAATTCAGAAATCTGACCTTAGAAATGCTTGTATTTATCTTAAACTTTCTCTTAAGCAGGATTTATTACTGAGTTCCTTTTGTCTAGCTTCTTTTCTGGATGTAAGTTGTACTTCTTTACTTTTTATTTAAGGCTCTGCCTGGAAACTCCTGTTTTTAGAGGCAGTACCACACGGTGGCCAGAAACCTGGTCTTGCTAGCACAAGAAACCTACTTTCGAATTCTGGCCTTGCTGCTCATGGACTTTGATTTTAGACAATACACCATTTAATACTGCTGAACTTCTATTTTCCGCTGTAGGATAACTACCTTTACTGAGTTATTGTGAAGAGTAAAGTGGGTGTATAAACCCACTAGTATAAGTCAGTACACACGTATGAGCCTTGTTCTGAGGGATATTGATAAATAATAGGTCACAAATGTACAGAAAGTCTGTGGACCAGATTATTTTCATTTCTGTCTTGTTTAATAATCTTTCTTTCTTGGGAAAATGCATCTACCTTTCAGGGAGAATCATAAACATTCCTTAGCTTTTTAAATTATGCTATTTATATGGGCTAGTGTTATATAACATATTAGAAGTCCCATCATAGTTTTAATCTGTAGTTCTGTGAAGACTTAAGTTTTTTTATGTTTATATTTCCTTAAAGTATTCATTTGTGGATTGGATATATCTGGGGCAGAGTGACGGAGATACCCATCCAATAATATTTTGACTGATTCAGAATAATAAGCTCCTCTGAACTTTCATTTATTTAGCCTTAATTAGTAGTGCCTTTTTTTCCCTAAAGGTATGACAATCATAGAGAGGCCTTACTTAAAGGAGGACTTGATGGAGAATATCAAGATGACAGCTTAGATTTGCTTCACTATTTCACTGTTACCTGTTACTCTGGTTATGGGGATGATGAAAAGGTAAGATAAGTAGACCTTTAAGTAGACCTTTTAATCAACAGTTAAATCTCAGATAAAAAGAAAATTTAAAAATACTGTTCTAGAATGTAATATGAGGCAGTGTCCATTTTGAAAAGTGATATAAACATATATAAGCTATTGGCCCATTAAAAAGTTCCATTTTAAACCAAATGTACTTGTAGTGACCATAGCCAGTTACTGTAATTTTTCAGTGTTAAAGTTGATCTTATATTTTAAAATCTTATTCTACAATTAAACTAAAAATACTAAGAATTTGTGTTTCTGATTTTTTTAGGGCTTTTACAGCGTGTATCGTAATGTTTTTGAAATGATTGCAAGGGAAGAATTAGAATCTGCACTAGAGGATGATATTGAGGATTTTCCAACTTTCGGAGACTCCCAGAGTGATTATGATACGGTAAAAGAAAAGTGCATTGCATCTTATGACTAGCATTTATAACTATGTCTTTTTCCCATTTTCTGATTTTAAAAATTCATACTAGTCCTATCCTATAACCTTTTCTCCTCTCTTATCCTAAAGGAACATGCAGCTCTCTCAGTGCTGCCCTTATTTACCTTTTCTGCTTGTAGACTGTTCTCATTCTGTGGTCAGAAAGACTGTTTTCTCATTAAATCTTTTGAGGAACGATTTATTCTGAAAAGCTGTAAATGGACTGAGTAATGTTGTATATATGAAAAAAGAAAACTAGAAGATAGTTTGGTACTGGGAATTGAACTCAGAACTTTGCACTTGCCAGGCAAGCATTTTACTAGAAGATGTTTTGCATCAGTAATATATGAATACTAATGTCTTTCTACAAATTCTTTAGTTAAAAAACCCAGAATTTTACCTGTTTTCCTTGTCACTAGGTAGTCCATCCTTTCTATGCATATTGGCAGAGTTTCTGTACTCAAAAGAACTTCGCCTGGAAGGAAGAATACGATACCCGGCAAGCTTCCAATCGCTGGGAGAAACGAGCCATGGAAAAGGAAAACAAAAAAATTCGAGACAAAGCCAGGAAAGAGAAAAATGAACTTGTGCGTCAGCTGGTAGCTTTTATTCGTAAAAGAGATAAGAGAGTGCAGGCTCATCGGAAGCTTGTAGAGGAACAGAATGCTGAGAAGGCCAGGAAGGCCGAGGAGATGAGGCGGCGGCAGAAGCTCAAGCAGGCCAAGTATGCAGTGTGTGCTGGGTGCTCGCTTCTTTGCTCAGCAGAGTTGGGGGTCGGAAGGACATGACTGGGTGCCATCGTGGGTTTTCATGTCTAGTTCACTTGTCATTCTGGCCTCATTCCTTTTTTTGTTTTTTTCTTTCTTTCTAATTCCTTGCATTAGGTATTTTTTTGGTAGTGCTTTTTCACTTACTATGTAAAATGTTTTATTTTAATTTGGATGTTTTCTTTCAAAGCTCCTTTATACTTGAGGTCATTTGTAGATTCTTATAAAATTCAATTATAACTAATATTGAGTTTTTACTCGTTGTATAAGATTCCTATTGTTTTCCTGACAGCAATTTTGTGGAGTAACTTCTGGTTTTTGTGTTCCTCATTCTTGTGAGAAAATGAGACAGATGGGCCGAGAGTCATATAGTTAGTCAGTTACTCAGTTGGGAAATTGGGCTCAAGAATTCTGCTCCAGAACCTTGCTTTGACTCACCATGCAGACTGCCTCTTTGCTGGTACTATGGGATGCCTAGTGCATTTTCATTCCCTTAAAGTTTTGTTATTAAGCGTTACTGTAAAAGCATTAAGTGTAGATCATTATAGCCGCCCTTCCACATGGAGACTAAAGTCAGGGTCTTGAAGATGCTAGGTAAGTGCTCTACCATTGAGCTACATTGCAGTCTTTTATATTTTATTTTGAGACAGAATCTCTATGTTGCCCAACCTGGCCTTGAAATTGTGATCTTGTGTTACCCTCTTAAGTTAGCCAACTTGCAGATGTATGCCACTGTGCCTAGCTATAGCATTCTTTTACATATGGTTTCTCTACTAAAAATTCTATTCACTCTACTTACCATCTTTTGAAAGTTGGTACATTACATGACACTTAGGAATTACAGTCATCTGAAAACTTTTAAAAGTTGATAAAATGTGTGTTTTAGCGGGCTGGGGATTTAGCTCAGCGGCATAAGCACCTGCCTTGGAAGCAGGCAGTCGTGAGTTCGTTCCCCGGTACCCATAAAAAGGAAAAAGACCAAAAAAAAAAAAAAGGGTATAGTTTAGAATATCATCTAGAAGAGCAATTAACACTAAGCAGGTAACAGATTTTAGTGGCTTTGCTCTTATTTTAACTGAACATAGGTTTTTAGGTTTGTAAGCATTGGGCGCTCTCTAGAGGATGGATTTTAAGCTTAGCTTCTGAAGTGAAAAACATGCAAAGACATAGTTGTCAGCATAGCTGACTGTGCTTTTATGTCTAGACTGGCGGAGCAGTACAAAGAACAGAGCTGGATGACTATGGCCAACATGGAAAAGGAGCTCCAGGAGATGGAGGCACAGTATGAAAAGGAGTTTGGAGATGGATCAGATGAAAATGAAGTGGAGGAACATGAGCTCAAACATGGACAGGACGGTAATTTTTCTTGATTTCTTAGGAAATTTTGGAAAATGTTGCTTGTATAAGGATGTGTACTTTGGTGCCTAGAGGAACCACTAAAGGGGCCAACATCTTAAATGATAGGGAACTGGAGAGAGAAAGGAAACCCAGAGTGCCAGTTGTTGCCAGGATGGTGCCAGAGTTTTCGTTTTTTATTTGTTTTTAATTTAATTGGGTGTTTATGTGAAATCTCTGAGTTTATAAGTGGTAAATAATTAAAACTAAAAATAATATTGTTTGGGCTCCACACAACCAGTATATGGAAGTATTCCAATCCAGATAGTTTGATCTAACAAACTTTTCAGTCTGTGTTCTAAATAGTTTGTGTTTCTAGTTGCATCAATATAACGATAGGTGTGCGTATTCATGAGTAAGACTGACCAGCCAGCTAATGAAGAAGATGCAGTTAAGGAGTAGGTCAAGTTTTTATAGAAACTATTTCCAGGAAAGCAGAATTATGCAGGTATCTTTGTGGTATGTATAAACCGTTCCTCTCTCATTTCCCTCTTTATGGAGAGGCATTTGTGCCAAATATTTCTTTTCACTGCCTCTGTCATCGGAATACAGGTGAGTGACTCCTCTAAAAGCCAAGGTACAGGATTTTTTTTTTAAAGAAAAGCAAAACAGAAAAAAGGTAGAAATACTACAGAATTAAAAAAAAAAAACAGTAAGAAATCAATAGTTGATAAATAACATATTGTTATCTTAGAAGTAGTTGTTCAAGTTACAAAATCAAACCAGAGGAATTTTTAAAAATAGCTGTATACCTTATTTTCCCTTCTATCTCTAGCTCTTCTGTAGGTCAAAAAGTGATCTAAACATTACTGATTTTCTTATCTACAGTATGGTTTTTCAGAATAATATCCCAAATGATAAAACAAATCTTTTTATTCAAAATGATTAGGAAATAAAGTGTTTGTTAATGAATCAGAGATAGTTTGTGTAAATTATAATGACTTAATGAACATGACATAGTCTAATTTACACAGTGGTTTTTTTTTTTTTTTTTTTTTTTTTTGAGACAGGGTCTCACTGTGTAGACTGGCTGGCTAGTTTTATAATTTTTAAAGTCTTTTCGCATCCAGGATGTCCTTTGATCTTTAAATGTAGGTTTCAGTGGTGGAATTATGCCCATTTTATTAATGAGAAAGTAATCTGAGAAGCTATTCCTGAGAACATGTAACCTATTTGAGATCCAGACTTTTCCAAATCTAGCATTCCATTTTAACTGTTGATTAATTAAAGGTTATTACATATGTATGATATGTTGAAATTAACACTGAAAAGTAGCACCACATCTAGTAGTCACCCTTATCCTCACTTTCCAGAGTTTCAGCTTATGAAAAAGATGTAAAAGACAATTTTCGACCTTACATATAATAAGCTGTCTTCCATATATCCAGTAATGATATGATATTGAAAGCTAAGTTTTAATCTGTAAGAATAAAATAGTATTTGATTCAGTTGTTTTTTGACATAGGGTCTTGCTATGCAGTTCAGGCTAGCCTTGAATGACCCATGATAGTCTGTGCTGGCCTTGAACTTATGGCCCTGTCTTAGCCTCTGGAATGCTAGGATTACAGGACCAAGGCATTATGCCTGCTTTACACCCAGGATTTTGAGGATTTTCTGAATCTTCTTTTGAGCAAAATTTGAAGGAAGAGATTTATTTGTAAGCCTGCCGTTATAGTGCCTTTTGAAAGGCCATCAAATCCTGACTCCATTTATTCTTAGTAAAGCAATAGAAAAACTTTAGTTTTGCACTGGGGATTTAGCTCAGTGGCATAAGCACCTGCCTGGCAAGTGTGAGATTGTGAGTTCGAACCCCAGTATCAACCCCCCCCCCCAAACTTTAGTTTCTAATGTGTATTCAACTTTAGGTCCTTATTAAAGAGGCATAATTTGTTTACGTACTTCAGATTTGTTTTCTGATGCAGCAGTTCCCTGTTTTTTGGTACCAGGAACTAGTTTCATGGAAGATGGTTTTTCCACAGATGGGGCATGAGATTATGTTTTCAGAACGATGGAAGCATATTACATTTATTGTGCACTTTGTTTCTGTTATTACATTGCAATATGTAATGGAATAATTACACAGTTACTCACAGCTGCTCCCTAGCACTGGCATCACCAGCCTCGGCTCTACTTCAGATATAGGCATTAGATTCTCAAGGAAGGTACAACCTAGATTGCTTGTGTGTGCGATTCTCAGTGGTGTTTGTACTTCTGTGATGCCCACTGATCTTTAAGGAGGCTGAGCTTAGACTGTAATGTGCGCAGTGGACAGTAGCTGAAACTTGCCTTGCTGGCCTACTGCTGGTCTACTTAGCTCCTACTGTTTGGCTTGGTCCCTTACAGACTTGTACTGATCATTGCCTGGGCAGTTGGGGACTCCTTTTCCGACCATGCAGAATTCTTACTATAAACTTCCCTTTCACAGATAAAGACAATGATGAAGCCGAGGACGTTGAGTTTTATGATGATCTTTACTGCCCAGCATGTGACAAATCTTTCAAAACAGAAAAGGCGTAAGTGTATGATGTTTGAACTTTCTCTTTTTTTAGAGGCAAAGTATAACACTTTGAAGGTACTCAGGACTGTGCTTGTAGCACTTGACCACCAGCTCTTTCCTGTCCTCTTGATGGAAATCTTGTCCACTAGCAGAGAAAGACGCATTTGTATCAGCAGTTAAGCCTCTTAAACCAGTTCTCCCTCTTGCAGTATTCCTGAGTGATAGCTACCCTGTAAATACACAGGCTGTTTCCAGAAGTTCTGCTTGTCACACAGGCAAGGTGGCTACACCAGATCTCTTCATCTCTGCTTGTTGGCATCAGACTCATTTTGAGTCATTGCTGTTTCCTCAGGGTGTTGCTACCAAACTAGAAACTTGAACTTGTCCTCCAGGAGTCTACTTGTTGAAATGGATGCATTTCATCTTGTGGGAACAATGACAGAGACAGACATAAGAAAGGATGCTATTATAAAGGATGGGAGAAGAACATGGGAGAAAATGAGGGTTGAGTCACCAGGAAAAAAAAGTTGAACCTACAGTTAGGAAGAAAGGACAGCAAAGGAATTGAATCAGCTAGTGGGAATCACACTAGGTTTACTGTAAAAACCCAAGGAAAAAAATGACAGGGTAGTAACAGGAGTGACAAGAAGCACAAAAAGTTAGAAACAAGAAAACAAAAAACAGCAGCGAGGTTTTTAAAATTACTTTTTAAATTTAGAAATAATATCCTTGAAGGGCTGGCGATTTAGCTCAGTGCCATAAGCACCTACGTGGCAAGCATGAGGTCCTGAGTACAATCCCTGGTACCAAAAAACGAGAAGAAAAATAAAATCATACCTAAAGAAAAGTTGCAAGAGCATGGCATATTCTAGGTATGTGTCAGTAATGTTTTGCCCCATTTGCATGTTCTCTCTCCGTTTACACACGCATGCGTGTGTGCGCACACACACACAGTATTTTTCCCTGAATAATTTCAGAGTAAGTTAATTATATAATGCTCTTTTATCTCTAAATACTTAGCTCTGTATGTCTTGAGAATAAGAATATGTTATCAACTTTAGGAAATTTATATATAACATTGAGAGGGTATTTTTGTTAGATTTATTGCCCATATTTCAGTTTTGCCAGTTGATCCTTTATTCATCTTATCTATTCCAGTGTTACCCACTTCAGTACAGAATCCAGTATACTAGTCCTTTGAGATTGTTTTCATAGAAACTTCTCATTTTTTCATCATTAGATTCAGTATATACCTTCTTAGGAATGATACTTCAGTTGTGTCATTTTCCAGTCAATAAGCATATAAAGTTCGCCTAATTCCTCATGGGTGGCAGTTGTTTTGATCGTCCAGTGTCGTCCACTTTTTCTATGTAGAGTTAATATTTTTTCCTTGCAATCAGTTTCCCTTGGAAGCATGTTTAATCTGTGGGGAGACACTTTAAAACTCTACAAATACCTTTTTCATTTAAAAATTTCCTCCTGGGGCTGGGGATTTAGCTCAGCGGCATAAGCACCTGCCTTGTAAGCAGGCGATCATGAGTTTGATTCCCGGTACCCATTAAAAAAAAAAAAAAAAGTTGAAAAAAAATTTTCTCCTAAATTTAGCATTGTATGTGTTCCACATCAGTCCCTAATGTAATAATCTGAACTATTTAAAATCTTAAAGTTTATGAGTGTTACAGTGCCACCAGTGGGAAAATTACACTTGACCTGCTACAGATCACATTTAGTATGTAGCATGTTAAAAGGGCCAGGGATATAGCTTAGTGACACAAGAGCCTGCCTGGCAAGCACAAGGTCCTGAGTTCGATTCCTGGTACCACAAAAACCAGACAGGCAAAAAAACAGTGAGCTCAAATCCAGTCTAAACTGCATAACAAAACCCTGTCTCAAGAAAGACCAAAAGAAAAAGAGGCTTGGGATTTAGTTCAGCAGCCTGAGCACCTGCCTGGCAAGTGTGGAGTCATGAGTTCAATCCTTAGTATAAAAAAAAAGTAAAAATGTATAAAATTACCTTTATGCCTTGTGTATAAGGTTCATGTGAAGCATTAATAAATTTTTTGCTTAAACTAGGGTCTCATCTCTCATTTTGTATATGCGACTGTTCTAAAATCCTCCCGCCCTGTAGTTTGAAATCTAAAACACTTCTGGCCAAAGGATTTTGTATAAAGATACTCAACCACTACTAGTCTTTATTTTGTGCTGGTGGCCAAATGATGCTTTTTTTTTTTTTTTTTTTTTTTTTGCCCTTTTTGAATATCAGACAGCATTTGCCCTTCTGCTTTAATTAGCTCTTTCCTGTTTATTACCTTTGAATCTTACGAATTTTCTAGAGTTTTTTTAGAGTTTTATAATTTGTTCTTGCCCTTGTCAATACCTGGGTTTTTCTGGATTTGCCTAGTGGAAGTTCTTCAAGTCAGTTCCTGTGTTTTTCTTACATACTCACATCATCTTGAGCACTTACTGACACACGATGTCCTCATTTCTCCTGGGGATCTGGGTCTGCAGGAGAATTCTAGTAGAGAGGAAAAGTAGTAATCCACACTAGAAACAGCAAAAAGCTGAACAGAAGACAGAGTAGATAGTGATCACAAGTTTCTTTATGTTTGGGGAGGAGGAGCGTGCTGGGGATTGATCCCAGGACCCGAAGAATCCAGACAAGCACTTTACCACTTCTACAACATTTCAAGTCCAACTTTCTTTCTCAGTTCTGTTTTATAAAATATTCTTTTAGTTGCCTGTATATATACTGAAACAGACATTGCCTTTAGATTTTTGAATAGTTTCAGGGATATGTTTGAACTCATTTAAGGGTGGCAGGAGTGGGAAGAGAGACCTGAGAAGGTGCAAAAGGAAAAGGAAGCAAACTGTTTGTGTCCCTGTAAGCCTCAGGTGACCACTCTGTAGTCCAGGGGTCTCCTTTTTAACATAGAATGTGTGTCTCGCAATTTCCAGTGACTCTTAAAACTCTTTTTCTCTTTCCTAGAAGATACAAGGCCTTAGTAAACACATACTGATTAAAAGAAAACTGTGGAAAAGTTTTTCATTTTAAAAATTGAAAAATCAAAAATACAGAGAATTTGGCCCCCAAAAGGGAAAGCAAATATATGTAATTGGCAAGGAAGAAAACAGAAATGCTAGTATCTAAGGAAGAAGAGCTTGGCTATGAGCTTCCAGGGTCCCTAAAGCCTTCTGTGGCTCTGTTTAAAGCTACAAACATTTGGTGGTTCCACCTTGGTTGCAAGTATCCAGCAGCATGGCTGGACATGTGAATGACTCCTAGAGCAGCCACTCATACTGGTTTGTTTTTTCAGCATAAAGAATCATGAAAAGTCAAAGAAACACCGGGAGATGGTTGCCTTGTTGAAACAACAGTTGGAGGAGGAGGAAGAGAATTTTTCAGGATCTCAAGTGGATGAAAATCTATTGAATGTCAATTCTGAGGAAGAAATGGAAGATGTACCAAAACAAAAGTACTTGAAAATATGAAATGTTGCTAGACATATTTGTCACATTTAAAGATACTTAAATGCCATTTTATCTCAGAAAAGTTGCTTTGTTACAATGATGTTTTTCACATCTCTTATAGTTAGTGAAATTATATAATGCTGAAGTAGGTAATGATGTTAAATATAACTTACAGAATATACATGAATATACAGGATGGTATTGAAAAAGAGCTTGACATGTAGGCTAGTTAATATTCATTTCTATTGATTTAACCACAGTTACTCTCTAAAATGACAGTGTGTACACTTTCCTATCCTGTGCTTTATACTATTAAATATTTTAAATATTCTATTTATCACCAGCATGTCACTAGCATTTGACTTTTCTTTTCACTTAGTAAATCTTCACAAAGTCAAATATTTGACATACCTGATTTATATTTGCTTTTAGGCTTTCTAAAAAACAGAAGAAAAAGAAACAGAAGCCAGTGCAGGTATGTTTGAAATGTTTTATTAACATTTATTAACATTAACATTTATTAACATTAGATAACAACTAAAATTTAACAGTGTTCTTGTTTGTTCAGTGTAGTCTGTAAAAAGAGAACTTTCATTCCATAACTTTATGTTGGTTATAAATTGATTAAAAGAAAATAAAAATGTTTTCCTTTTTCACTGCTCCCTCTATTTTGTGTATGAAACTAATTTAATTGGTACTGTGTACTTAACAGATTTTACATATAGAATATCCTGTTATGTATTAGCTCAGTGCTGCATTTTAAAAGTGTGATGTGTCTGATGATTGGGCTCATAAGACAGCAATTAAAATCTGGAAATAGGAAAATCCAAGGTTTAGTTGTTGTTTATCTAGACTTATTCTGCCCAACAGCATCAGTAAAATATTTCATAAAGAGCATTTGGTTTAAAACTAGTAATGATTTAGTTATTAAAGAAATGTTTTTATTACTGAGAAACTTAAGTAGTTTGAGACAGAGTCTTGCTATGTTGCCCAGGATAGGCTTGAACTTTTATTCTCCTGCCTCAACATCCCAGTGTGCTGAGGCTACAGATGTACACGGTCATGCCTGGATTGGGAAAGTTTCTTTGTATGACTTAAAAAGTTGCATAAGCTAAGAAGGATGGTAAAAGAAAACCTAAAAAACAGGAACCAAATGTAAATAGAAACCAGTGACTTTGATAAAAAGCAAATGTTAAATCAAGTAACTTTTGTGTACAGTACTCTGAAATCTTTCTATAAGATAAAGCTAAAAGATAAGATTAACCATGTAAAGGTCAAATTAAGTAAATCTTGAACTTACTAGGGTTTTTGATATTTTATTTCAGGATGCTCTTGCACATATTATAGGATAAAGTAAATGAATAAATTAGTTTTCATTAGGAACTATTGGGAACCATATTCTCTGTGGGAGAAGGGGAATGTAAATGTAGATGTACTGTAGTTTTGGCTTGGAATTAGAGATATTGGTAGGGATTTATGATTTAAAATAATTAGCACCTATGAGCCATGATAACCCCTAGCAGTGAACAAACCTAGGTCCTACATCTTAGTTTCTAAGTTTCCTTCCCCTCAAGGAGGAGACAGAGTTTGAGGAATGAATGACTGTGCTGAGATGGGACAGATAGAAGATAAGCCCAGAATTCTTATGCTGGAACCAAAGAAAGTACCCTTCTCAGAAACTGATGGGAATATGTCAGAAACCTTCAGAACATGACTTGCCAATTGGGAACATTTGAGTCAGGCAAAAAGAATATTTGTGATATATTTTCATAAGTTGATTTTATTTGAAAACTCATTATCTATATTGAGTTTACAGAGTTGAAGAAAGGAGATGAGAAAGCTTTATTCCAGAACATGAGTTAGTACAAATGCAGATGGCACAAGTCACAGAGGTAGTAAATCACAGTTCTCCAGCTACCAGCCTAATAAATGGTCCAGGCAAGAGTCATAGCTTCTGCCATATCCACTGGGTAAATTGTGATGATGAATAGCATATTCACGAAATCTCAAAGTTGAACTCTGTAGATTATTGATTTTAAAAATTTGATAAAACCATGTAATAAATGATGAAACTTGTTAATATCTCCGGAAAATCAGACAAGTAACTCATTGCCTCTTGGTCTTTTGATGTGATGTACTGAGAACACAGCATAATTTTTGTAGTACTATTTTTAGAAATAGTTAACCTGAAACCAGTCATTTGCAAATAATCAAAGCCAAATGACGAGACTCATCAGATTGCCAGGTATCATGAAGGATTTTTAAAAAGTGACAACTATTCTGGAATAAGAGATTAAAGAGATAAGAAAATAAATGTAACATATGGCCTTTAGCCATATTCCCTATTTGGAATTCTTTTTAAAAAGAAATAGCAAATTTGAATATGAACTCTTACATGTAATATCTATTAACTGCTAGTATATGATGAGGATCATGACTCAGTATTTTTGTTCTTAGATAAGATGACAGAAATTCATAGATGCCTAAAACCTTTAGAGACGGGGGGACAGAATATGTGTGGTTAGGTAGAGAAGGAAGGGGTAGTGTATGTGACTATGCATGTGCACAAGCTTAGCAGATTTCCACTCAGCAAAAGCGTACACTGGCACTTAGTAAAGATGTGTTTGCCAGACATTTTTCTTCTATAATGCCTGTTCATAGCCTTCTTATTTTCAGACTGTAAAAGTAAGTAGTTGCTTATTATTGATCATTTGGAAAATGTAGAAAAATATAAATATCTGTCTTCTTTAATTCTATCTATAGAGATTAATATTGTAATAAATTAGGACTGAACTGTATGTATAATTTTCTCTTCATTTTGCTAACACATTGAATTTTTCACATAATCAAGCAATTGAACTTTATGAATTTACTTTGTATAGACATATGTGAATTATTTTTTGTTTTTCTCTAATATCTGTAATGAGCATATTTTCTTTTAACTTACTTGCTTTTTATATCCTGAGATTTATTCTTATTAAGAGTGTGAGACATTATCAGTTTATTATCATTTATTATTTGTTAACATAAGGAACCAGGATTGTTAGGTAGATTTGTTTATAATGGCACATATATTTTAATATCTAGAATTATGATGACAGTTTCAATGAAAGTGGAATTGGAGAAGAAGAAAAGGTTGACCCAGAAGATACTAACTTTAATCAAGACAATGCCAAAGAATTAGAAGATAGTCTTCTAGAAGATGTCAGTGTCACAGAGACTGTCGAACCCTGTGATGGTCCAAAAAGTGAAGCTAAGAGGTAGGGCAAAATTACATGTTACTTTCTAACCACTGAATATTATATATCATATCCGTTTATGACTAAGTTAAGTGTAAACTGCACATAAATATATATATATATATATATATATATATATATATATATATATACGCACGCACACACACACACACACACACACACACACACACACAAAGGTGCATGCCATGCCTACAGATCCGGTATGTTGAGAAGAAAGTGTTAGAGCAGCAAGCTTTCAGACAGTTCAGCACCATAACCAGAATCCTTTTGGTCCAGTTCCAGTTTCCCTTATCCTGATGTGCGTATTTTTTCCTTTACACTCCTGAGAACACAGCTGCCACTCAGTCTCTTTCCCACCACACTGCTGTGGAGCATCGCTCACCAGAGATCTTCATGGTAGTGGCAGTCATTATCTGTGCTTCTTAGTCCTGCACGGCAGCACCTTGGGGCCTTCCTGCTCAGAGGCTGTGCATGGAGTCCCGAGCTCTAGGGCTAGCTCGCTTGGGACAGAGGCACTCCTTTTTTTCCTGCTCTCTTTTCTGTCTGGCTTCCTCATCCTTATGCTCATCCTGCTTACTCCTTGAAGGGAGATCTGGAATAGTGTAGCCTAAGGTTCCAGTCCTCACGGGATTGTGAGAAAGAGTGAATGTGACACAGTAAAGTGGAAGTGTGAACTGAAAAAGCTCAAGGCTGGAACTGCAGTGATGGGGTGGTGTAGTGTCCTTCTGGGAGTAGGGAATTTATATACAGTAGCAAGAATGAGGGGATGTGGAACTGAGGCCCACAGTAGGGCTGAAGCCGCGGAAAAAGGAAGAACAAGGAACTACACAAGCTGCAGATGCCAGAGCTTTGAAAACCTGTAGAGAGTGGAAGCCAGGAAGGGGAAATTAACCTTTGTTTTACTGATGCTAGACATTTGTTCTCATTTTACAAACAGAAACAATTTTAAGTGAAGACTTATCCATGGACAAAAGCTGTTAGGTGGGAAAGCTGCCATTTAACCCTGTTTATCTCCATGGGGTCCAGGCATCCTGTAAGGGTCCTTTTGGTTGTTTGGAGGGAGTGAGGGGTAGGCCAAGACATGGGATGTAGACCCCTAAAACTTCTCCTTACTTAAAGCTAAGAGGTGTTTATTTACTTTCCGTGTGCTTCTAAGTGAGCATTTGTATAAAAGGCTTCTCAGATTTGAGCAACCTGTGATACAGTTCAGTTTTTTTGTTTTACTGATATGAGAAAAACAGAGGATTTGTGTTGCTTTACCACTGCTGAGGAACAGCGGGACCGAGACAGACCCACCTCCTGTTCCTGCTCCTCCTCCTGCGCTAGCCAGCCTCCTGATAACAGAGCTCACTGCTGGACCCTCTGCTGCTGATCTCTAGTGATAGGAACACTGTAGTTGTCTAATGAGAAATAGTTAGTTAAATGTGTGGGCATGTACTGCTTTAAAAAAAAATGAAGGACTTAGGTATTAGATTCTGGCAAATTATTTACCCCAAGATTGCCCTCAGATTTTGCAGACATATTTATGGTATATTTTTGATGGTTTTTTTTTTTTTTTTTTTTTTTTTTTGTTACTTGTTGCCTTTTATACCATTGCACTATATTTTAATGTTTCCAAAGCTGACTAAATACTGCAAATGGTGTTTTATGCTCTTAGTCAGCATCTTTAAAGACATATGTTCTTAGGTATATATTTAGCTTAAGAAGGGTGTGTTTTGGTTTCTGCTTGAGGAGTAGTGTACCCATGAAGTGCTTGGAAGCATTATCATAATTCATTTATTATAACTCATTCTGTTTATAAGTACTGTTCCACCTAGATTTTTACCCTAAGAATTTGTTTGTCACAAATGTGGGAAAATATAACAGTCTAAAGAAAATTAAAGTTCTCAGAGGAGTTTGCATAGAGTTATGTTCAGGATGTAAACAGAACAAGAGGAACCTGACCAGGCTGACTGGCAGCTTCTGGATTAAAGGGTCCATGTGGACACCTAGATCAGTATAGAAGGATGCCGTCTTTTAATGAATATAGATTTCATATATTGAGCAAATTTAATTCTATGAGAAATTTATTATTATGCAGTTTTTTTCATTTCCTGGTGAGTCTGTGAATGTCCATTAGAGACTGAATCAGATTAAGAAGTTGATGTTTTGTGAATCCATGCTTAATGTTATAGCTTATTTATGATTATTACTAGTTGGTTGGTTGTGAAGATGGTTTGCTTCTATAAAATGCTTTGCTTTTTATAAAAATGTACTGTATAATGTTCAGAGTTCATTTTAGAGATATTGTTTTAGCTTTTGTTTCAGTTATTTTAGATAAATTACTTAGTTTTATGCAGTTAATTTGATCTCTAAAGTTGTTTACAAAGCTATTTGAGATGTAAATTAACCATTAAAATCAGTAAGTTAGCATTTTAAAGTATACCTCGTCTTTTGAGTGTTCTTGGAAGCAAGATAACCATTAAAGAGGGTACATCATTTATTTTTGTATTAAGCTGGATAACTTATTTTGCAGTATTCTCAAACCCAAAGAAAAGAAAACCAAAGATACGAAAAAATCTGTCAAAGTATCTGCTGAACCACAAATCCAGGTAGGTCAAAATCATTTTTACATCTCTTTGGTGGACCTTGCTTAAGCAGTGTAATGTTCTGAAGATAGAAATGTATATTGGGTGAGTTCTTCCCCAAAGAACCTGCACCACACAGATTCATTAGTGGTTTTTCAGGATGCTGGTAGAATTTTTATATGTACTGCTGTCTTCCCTTTTTTCTTCAAAGTAAAAAAGGACTATAGAAATATTAGGTACTACAATTAGCTTTTTGTTTTCTATGACTTTGTAATCTACAATGTTGGTGATAGAAATTACATGTGTCCATCTCTAAAGATTAGTTGTAAAGCACAAATTTCAGTCTGTGTACCACATGCTATTGAAAAACTCAGAGGTCTTAAAGATGATGATGTTGGTTAATGAGATTTAATTTCCAAGAACATCTGCCTTTATCTAAAGATTAGTTGTAAAGCACAAATTTTAGTCTGTGTACCACATGCTATTGAAAAACTCAGAGGTCTTAAAGATGATGATGTTGGTTAATGAGATTTAATTTCCAAGAACATCTGCCTTTATTGAGCCTGTTTTGGTTGCTATCTTTTGTTTTGTTAAAATGTCTTTGTTTTATTATTATTTGATGTTTAATCCTGATGTTGTAACATAAAACACTATTCTCAGATAACACTTGCTGTTACTTATGATTTTCTTCCCTTTTTAGAGTGATGTTATCAGCTGTACAACCTGCCATAGTGAGTTTCCATCCCGGAATAAACTTTTTGACCATCTCAAGGCTACAGGTCATGCAAAAGCACCTCCACCGTCATCTGTAAACAGTGTAACCAGTAGTCGAAGCAAGAAAGAAAAACGTAAAAACAGATAGAAATTCTGCCAACATTTGTTTTCTTACTGTGTCGAGATTTCGAAACCAAAAACTGAACTGAAATCATCTAGAGTTAAAATTTCAGTGATTTGCAATTTATTGCATTGTGGAAGATTATTTTTTATCTTATAAAGACACATTTTGTTTAATATATATTTTTTAAACATTTCACTAGTGATTGAATTCTACTTTTGCCATCTGAATTGACTTGAATGTCTCAAAACAGGTAAATATTATAAAGTGCATATCTTGATTTCTCATGTGGATAGAAATGTACAGGAAAATTAAATTATTTTAACACATACAGATGCCCCTTTCTGCTGTTTTGTGAATTTCACATTGCTTTTCATTCTTTTTTACTTTATTATGCTCTGGAATCTGACAAAAAAAGTCAGGTCATTTTAAAATCAGTATAGGTTTTTCTTTTCCCACCTGATATGATGAGACTCTATTCCATATTTTAAAGTTACTTCTGATTAACCAGTTGTTGATTGTTGTATTTTTTATTGGGGGTGATAATCAGTAATTGAGTATTTGTTTTTACAAGAATACTATCTCTTCAAGGCTTAGCTGTGTTCACTGAATTTTTTATTTTACTGGTAATTATCTTTAAGATTCATCCTATGTTTTTTTGCTCTGACTTGAGTTGTGGAGGCAGAGGCAGATTATGTGCTATGGCACTTCTTTCCTAGATGTCGTGGCAGCTCTTGAGTATTGCTGTATGACGTGAACAGGTGGCAGATGGTTCAGAATTTTACTTACTATAAAGAATGAGTTCTCAATTGTGTTTTTAATTCACTATTTTCCTACCTTAAGATTTTTATTGTTTTACTTTAAATTTTTAGAGGGATGAAAACTTTTTTAATGAAAAGTTTTTAGATAAGGCTGATAAATTCAGAGTTATCTGAAGCTATGGTAAATATTAGGTCAAAAGGAATGTAGAGAATCATTGTGACCTAGTATAATTAAGTGTGATGATAAATGAGTCAAGTTTTAGGAGTAAGTAGGCAATTTTAAAAATTGATCTTTAAGGCAACTTTAAACTTTAGCTTGAAATGTGTACTTTTTGTAGCTTGGAATTACATACTTGAGTCATCAAATGAATAACTCTTGTAGGAGCTCTAAAATATGTAGGGTCCTTAATGGCAAGGTCTTTCTGATACCTAATAGGTAGTTTCAGTTATTTAGATCACTCTGTGCATAATCTTTAAAATACACATTCAAACTTTAAATTTTTCTTTTATATTTAAAGATATGTATTTTGTGTACTGTCTAACATTTGTATTTCTCATTAGTCTGTCATTCTTCACATTTGTTCTTTCTTGATCTTTTCAGGGCCAATACTAGCCAGGTTTTCATCTTCTGCTCTCATCCTCCTGGGCTTCATCTGAACATTCTGTGCCTTCCTCTGTTTTGAACAAGATGAGTGTTCATAAGTATGAATAGGAATACTATGAACAGAATCACATACACAATTTGTTATATGAAAAAAATGAAGTCATCTTAGAGGACAGAGAATGTCCTGTAAATGTCTTTCAGACTTATTTTGATTTCCCTTGTACTGACCATGCAGGTGTTTGATTTCTTTCTGCTTCTTATGAACACTGATTGGAGTTACTTTTTACTTCTATTCAGACTGACCCCCCCCAAAAAAAAAATCAGCCGTAATTTTCAAAGGATCTTTATCTTATGATTCGAAGTCAACTTATTTTTAATTCTGCATGATTTTGAAAAGTCTTCTCACTTCTCAGAACTTCATTTTATTCATCTCTGCCACAGTGCTTAGCATAGTAGTGTTGTCTCCACTTATAGAGGATCATTATGAGGGGGAAGTAAAATAATATATATTTAAGTGCTTTTAAACAAAGGCTTTATAAGAAATATTTCTGAATTTGAATGAAATAAATATTTTTATTTGAAATATTTGCAGATAGAGGTAGGCATAGTCAGTGAAATGTATATTATATTTTAAAGGAAAATGCTTCCTAAGTCTACTTCTGAAGAAGAAAACTAATGTGTATTATGCCAAGGGTAAAATAATATTTTTGATGAGTCACAGACGTTTATCTGTGGCAAGTTAATTTTTTAAAATACATAACCATATTTACATTGATGTTATTAAAGGTCAGCGGTCTTAATTGAAGTTACTTTGAGTGTGAAGACATGTGGATTGAAGACTGCAGGAGGAGAAGTTTGGGAAAATCCCTTCTTCCTATAATTCTTTTAGTAGTTCAGAAGTGGGAAATTCTCTATAAAACCCACTGGCACCTTCCCTATTTCAAAATAGGAGTAGTATTCTCAGCCCCTGCCAAACATTTTGCTTATTCCTAACTTTGATCACAGAGAAAAGCAAAACTATATGAATTAGTGAAAGATCAGTAACATTCGAATGCATGTTCTATTGATTGCTGCTGAGTTAAAGTTGATATTTTGGTGCTATGAGAAAACTTGTAGAAGCTTCATCAGAAGGTTTCCTTTTTTCTTTTCCTTCTTGAGTCATCTGCAGAATTTCCACATGAAAAACTACTTTAGTATTTATTTAAGATTGTCCCTGAAGTTACTTGAGAGGAAATGAAATTCTTACTGTAAGCTATAGCCATTTTTGAGTCCTTTAAAACCTTGAGAATGATCCATGCTGTCATGGTGATGCTAATCTTAACTCGCAATGTAAAACTATACAGAGGACCTTAAATATGCTACTGTTTGTGTGATACAAATTCACTTTCCCATAATCTGCGATGCTGAAGCATCTTTCCTTACTACAGTTAGTCTGTGCCTTATTGATTAAACTGTTTTAATGTTTTCATACCCAAATTCTAGGCTTTTGGGGTTGGAGAGGGAAAGTGGAGGCGATTACCGCATGTCTGTCTTCATAGATGGGGAAACTGAGCTCAGGGAGATAGGAACTTCACAGAAAGGGCTGGTTAGGGCCTGCTCCTATGATGGGAACATGGTAGCTTGCAGACTTAACTTGGTAGTTTTTCTGACACTCCAAAATCTGTTAACTGGAGTTGGGGGGAGGATTATTTTAATTCATATCTAAGTAATTTTGGAAAACAAGAGTGAGCACCAGTCCTGTCAGTATCCAATAATACTGGAAATTTGTAACACAGCAGTATGTGATGGTGCCAGTATAGGCCAGTAGATACATATACAAATTACAGGGCTGACAATAGATAGGCCTGTGTGTATGTGGAAACTCAAATTTTTGCCGGATTGTGACGTTACCTTTAAGGTGAAAACATATATTATCCTACACTGTTCCCTGAAACTGCATGGATTAAAGAACTACACATGAAAAGCCAAACTTTTAAATATGAATCTATAAAATTCATGGTTTTGCAGAAGGGCAGAATTTGTTTACAATGAGAGTTTAAAGCACAAGCCTTATAGGAAATAGGACTGTATCATACTTAAGACTTCTGTAGTACAACAGGCACCCATAAGTAAGAAGCATGATGAAAACTGGGAGGAAATGTTTACTGGTGTATGTATGACAAAAGATTCTCATCCAAAATATATTGAAAAACAGACAAAAGAGTCTTTCAAATCAATGAGAAAAGTGGTATCTGTGTATTAGGACAGCAATTCACAAGTCATGGGATCCCAAACCTCTTTACAGTTTCAAGCTTTGAGAACCCAAGAGTTTTTGTGTATGTGAATCACATCTTCTGGTGTTTGCTATGTTGGAATTATAACTGAGAAAATTTAAAGTATTAGTAAAATGCTAACTATCAATTATGAAAAATAAAAACTTCAGTGAGAGGAATATCCTTGTTTTACATTTTTACATATCTTTAATATTTAGCTTAATAGAAGAGAACAGAGCTGCTACCTGCTACTGCAGTTAACCTGGTGATGTATGTTTTGTTTAAAATATGTGAAGATAGATAGGTCTCACATAGATAACTGGAAAAGTAAAGATCTTTGCAGACCCTTGAGTGAGACTTTAAGGCCCTTGTCCCACATTGGACACTGTTGTAGTAGAGAAATAGCTGAACCCTAAACAGAAAAAGCTTAGTCAAAAGACATTGAAGTCATTGTCACTGATAATCAGGAAAATATTTAATTGTTTTGTGCTTTCAGATTGGCAAATGGTAAAATCTTGCAAGATCAAGAGAATGGAGAAATGGACACATTCATTTTTGATGTAATGGTTCAATTTGATGATTTTTAAGAAAGCTGATACTATGCATTCTCTGTGACCCAGCAATTCCTAGTCTGCTTCTCACAGTGTGGTACACAGCAGAAGCATGGGTGATACCTAGTGACTTGATTAGAAATTCTGCTTACAGATATACCAGAGTTAGATCTGATTATCAAGATTTCTTAGGTGACCCATGATCATTAAAGAGCAAGGAGCAAAACTCTATATAGAGAAACCTGTGCATGCATATACAAGAAAACACTAAGATGATCACAGATTGTTTGAATCTAAGAAAAAGCTGGAAATAACATATAGATGCCCATGGGTAAGTTATGGCCTGCTTCTAAAATGGCAAACAATTCCACATGAAAATGAATGAAATTATCTGCTACAGTCACTGTAGGTCGTCCTGGAAAAAATACTGACTCAAGCTGTCAAGGAAGATGAAGTGGATGCCATTTATAAAGTTTTTAAAAAACATTATGTTGGTTATCATTTATGTAACATGGGAACATCAATAGGAAAGACATTTAGAGAAGCACCTGTCCCTGGAAATGGAAAGAAAGGAACTTCAAGTGGCTGCAAAATGGTGCTCATTGGAGTTAGTTGGCTTTTTATTTTGTTTTTAAACTGAAGGAAAATGCTATCAGAATACTTCAAACATCCAGAAAACTGCAAATTCATGCTCCACTTCACTAACAGGATATATACTTGCATTAAGGGGAGGATGAAGGTTAAGTTCTACCTCTTATTCTCATCATATTCCTCAAACACTTTGTGACTGAGGCTGTTTCTCTCAATGCTTATTCTCCCTTTTAGAACTCTGATTTGTAGTTGGCCACAGAGCCACGCAGAATACTGTCAGTATTACCTCCCCACCCTCCCTTGCAGTTACTAGTGTTGGCCAGTGATCCTAGGAAATTCTGCAACAAGTCTTTAAAGATACATGTGTGTACTTATTCATTACTCAGTTTCCAAGTGAGTCAGTAGCCCCCATCTGGGATTATGAATCCTTACCAGGCACAGCAGTAGAAGATTATGAGATGTGATTGAAATATTAGTGAAAGTTAAAACACTTATTGCAGTAAAAAGATACACTGCCATTAATTCCCTTAAAGATACTTCCCCTCCAACCACATTTACCCCATGGTTCTTGCCACCTTCTACGGTAGTTCTGGAAGAAGTTCTTGGTATGTATCTGCATGAGGAATGATCAGAAATATATAGAATTCTGTTGCTAAGTACCATCCAACAGAAAGGCAGACAGGAAAACACTGCTGTGTCCTTATCAACCTTAGTCACCAAATCTGATACTGTATGACGTCTGGCTCTTCCCTAAACTCTGACATTTTCTAGCCTTTTCTGCCAAAATCTAAAAATTTATTTACCTTTCATTTCATTGGCATAAGGAAAGTTAAATATTTGAATGGATTCATAACATTAGGTTAGCTGTGAAAGATAACTAAAGGTACTCATGACAGAGGATTCACAGAATTGATTCAGAAAGTGGTTAAGTATGGTGGGATAGATGTACTCAAAGTGAGAGGAGCATTTTGAGGGGGATTAATACAAAATATCTTACTGTAATAACATTTTAAAAAAGTAAGCATTCACCTTTTCAGTCATACTTTGCAGGAGCTTCAGACCTGACACTCAGAGGACCCCCAGAACCCCGGGCTATTTGCCTTTGAATACTGGAGGAACACAAGTTCTACATTACCGAAACCCCTGTTCCAATCTATCTTTTCTGGGTGACTGAGATCCAGATTAACCCGTGTATTACAGTTTTCCAAACTAACAGTGAAAAGGGCACATGGCCCTTTAACTGACAGAACTGTGGTTGAATTCCAGCTCCAGTGTTAGTATTTTATCTTGAACAAGTCAAACTCGAACCATTTTTAAAGAATCTAAAATAGATATGAAACCAGCCTTTTAGAAATGAAGGTAAAATCTCGGGGCTGGGGATTTAGCTCAGCGGCATAAGCACCTGCTTTGCAAGGCGGTCGTGAGTTCAATCCCCCATACCAATTTTAAAAAAAAGAAATGAAGGTAAAGTCTCACAGGATAATGTAGGACCCGTGCATATAGTAGGGATTTGATAACTGTTAGCTTATTTTCAATAGTCTGATAATTTTTTGCTTGATTTAACTATTCATTTTGCTTTCTGAAGTAAATCAAGCAATGAATTTGGAGTGAAATTAGTGATTAAATTGGTCCTAGTAGTGTTTTTTTTTTAATGCACTTGTTATTCTTGTGCCCAAAGAACAGATTGTTTCCAGCTATCTTGAAAATGAGGGCATTATTAGTTATATTACAAAGTACAGTACATTTGTACAGATAGTCACTTTACCATTAAAACTAGTCAGAGGTTCCACCATTGTCCCTTTAGATATGAAGTGCCTTCTAAAAAGAGAAAAAGCTCATTACAAGTCATTTGATTTTTAAGAACAAGTCTAACAATTTTTGAAAATAAAAAGGTCATTTAAACAAAACAGTATGTAGTTTATAAGGCTTTAAGATACTTATTTTCAAATTTTGTAAGAACTCAGACTTCTGTAAGTCCAGTGGTAACGCTTGGCTCAGCATATTAAATACAATTTTAGCAGTTCCATCCAGCAGTGAGGTAGGTCTCTTACCATGTAGTGGGCTCCCTGTACGGTCAGAGCCAGCTGGTGTTCTGGCAGGACACGAAGGATGCCAGGCAAGCGCTTGAGCCACTGAGCTAAATCTCTGGTCCCCTATTACTGGTTCTTTAGGCTTTCCAATTTTTCATCACCATATGCACATCTATGTTGCATATATTTTATTTTCCTTTCCTTAGGATCAATACCTGGAAGGGAAAATGTTGGAGTAAAAAGATAATTCTGCACGGATAGATTCTCATCTCAATAAAGCACATCTGCTTGTGTTTTAATTACAATGTAGGAGAGAATAGCTTATGTCAAGACTACACTGTAAAATTGTCATTACACATCTTGTAGAATTCAAGTTTGAATGTGAAAGCAATGAAACTAGTTTTGAATAACTTCTGAACAACAAAGTTCATTGTTGCTTATTGCTGGTGACATCAGGATGTGGTCCTTACCATTGCTGTACTGGCCTTAGTGAAACAGTCTGCCCAGTGACCTGGCAGCCTCACAGAAGCCACACCATTTTCACAGTAGCCAAGATCAGGCCAAGTGTTAGGTAATTCCATGATAGTACCACAGATAAATTCTGAATTATTTCAGCCAGTGATGTGCTTATTTATGCTCCTTGATACATTCACTGAATGAAAAGGAACAAGTCAAGACAAGACAACGCTGGAATATCTTTAAAGGACATTGTCAAATTTTGCTTTTAGCTGTCTTACAATGAGCTATTTCACTTCTTGGAGCCCTCTGGTACAGTAGTAGGAAATGTTCTAGGGGGTTCCTGCATTGACTAAGGTCTCTCACTGAATACTTTTTAAAAAATATCAGTACTGCATACACTGCACCCCATCCCAATTTTAATTGTGTTTTGAAAAATGTGAAAATTCAGATCATTGCAAGGGGTTTTGAGGAGAAATTGCCTCATGCAAAACAAGCAGGTCTATCTGCAGCCACTTGCTAGCTGAGATAAATACATTGTGCATTCAGATTACCTCAGAGAACAATTGTACAGCAGGAAAGATAACACCTGTAGTGGTACTTTGGCAGTTAGGTTAACTGAGGAATACTTGGCTTCTCTGAGAGAGGTCTCAGAGGAGAAAGTCTTAGATCCAGTCTCCCCATCCTAATCCAAGTAGCTCTCTGCCCCCAAGACCTTTGCCCTGCTTTCCAAGGACCCCATCCTCTTAACAATGGGTAATGATGAAGAAATCCTCACCAATGAAGGTAGGTATGAGTCTCTCCTAAAGTACCTCAAACCAGAAAGCAGACATGGCTAGATCCTCCATTTGTCCGTAGGAGCAGGATGAACAAATCAGAATCTGAATCATGATTCACATGGGTTCAAATCTCAGCTCTAGGCTTTACAAGTGCTGGTAGCTCTGACATATATTAAAACTCTAAGGCTGTTTCCTTAAAAGTAAAGCAGAGATGATATCTTTTCCTTAAGTTAGTGGCTAGCTTTGTCATATATTTGCTATTCCCAGAATGTTATTTTTGTGGCAGCCAGAATTTTCCAAATGCATCCTCTCAGTACAAAGATTCCATGATCTAATCCCTGGGACCTATGAGGATGATTAAAATAATCACTTCTTGAATTGTTACTAAACACGATCTTAAGAATGACCTTAAAATGATCTGGCCTGTCTTGGTGGCCCCTGGGCCACATGGTAAGCTCAAGGCTAAACTGATTGGGAGATTGATTACGTGTCTTTATGCATTCATTGAAATTTGCAGAACTCTTCTTTAAGAGGGTAAATGAACTTTGTAATACATAATACCTAGACTTGAAATATGAAAACCAACAAAATTTCTAATTCCACACCTCTCTTTCTTGGTGGCCTTGGGAGCTCCTTCTCTGAGAACTAAGCTATTTGAATGCCTGCTGCCCTGACTACAGTGTCATCCATGGCACGGCTAACCCAGAGACGGTAACCTAGAGAAAGAGCCACAGTCTGTGCTGAGTCGTCTGCCTGGAAATTGCTTAGCGCT